TCATTCCTCCTCGGCTTCTTCGTTTCTGGCGTGATTGGAAGGTGGTTCGACACGTACATGTACATTCCTTGGCTCAACAACATCACCTACGAAATAACTGTACGTCAATGAAACATCTTACCTACTAACTACATTTAAGTAGAACGTTATTGATGAGTGTCAAAGAAAATCCAGCAATCAATTTTTCCTACATTGTGTCCAGGTTCGGTAGCAGGAAGTAGCATTAGTGGGTAATTGTGTGACATCAACTGCTAGCGTATATCAGCATATGATTATGGATGTTGTCTTGAGGTATCAACGTTCACGAACAGCGAGGGAAACCACCCCTGCTTTAAATGTCGACAATTGCGGCACCGTTGTGGATTACCTTGCATCGCTGTTGACCCTAACATCATGGCCAGAACACTTGTTTGAAGAACCTTTCATCACGTCGGGGTCACCAATTGTTGTGGACCCCAGCATGTGGTCCTCGGACCACGGAATTAACCCTGGCCCGATTTCGCTTCCCTGATACCCGCGATGAAGAAAAAGATAGGAGAGGACGTGGACACAACCGTTTGCTTCAGAGCTCAACCACGTTGGTGTCATTGTATCGTGTGTATTTATACCTCGGACGTGTGAGTCATACATGCGCTAACATCGAAACCTAGGTGTGGGGATACTCCAAGATAACTACTCGTGCGAATGAGGGCGGAGGTGAGGATCCGCGCGGCTGGCGACATCCTGCGAAAACGGGAACCCTGACTCGGAGGATGGAGTGACCGGATCAAGGGGTGTGTATAAACACGTTTCACAACACACTACTCGCTGTAAAAGTTTTGACCGTATTGCCAGAGGGCCGATTCCCTGTGTGCCCAAGGATGTTTGCTTACATAAATCAGTCTTAGACGGCGCCGTATCTCTCATGAATGTGTCGGCTGAAATGTGGTCGTTGTTGCCGTCGAATGCTGCAAACATCCCATCCACCGTCAGAACAACGCCGGTGGACAAAATCCTACATGGTTCCTTCAGTCCCCCCATTATCGATTTCCCCACCCTCAACTGACTTGTACTCCCTTTTGACCTTGACGAGAAACACGTCTGTCGGGCTTGGACCCACACACATTGCTCTGACGCCTGTTCTTGAATACTCGAAAATTAATGGACCTGACGCATCCGTCCATCTTTTTCACAAGCATCGACGGGAAAACTCGGAACCAACTACCTAGATGGTGGAAAGGGCGCCGCAAGCGAAGACAATTTCCCGCGTTTCCGTCAAAAAGCTACTTCATTTTTGAGTAATACCACAGAACAACAGATTACACTTGAGGTACAATAAAGGGGGTGAGATTGAATTTCCCCGTCATAATATTATCATCTGGAATTATTTATAAAGAATTGCTGAAAGCCAACAGGACAGGACAGAGGAAGGCATATCACAGAGTCCAAAATGTCGTCTCACATCGTGGAAACCTCGTGGGACGGTGCACCAGCAATCTCCGTGTCGCTTTCGTCCAACGGCAGTTGAATCCGAACTGCTTCTGAGGGAAGTGGAGGTAGTTGCTGCTGCTGGTGGTGGATGCTCGAAGACACTACAATTTTGGAACACCAAGACGCAATGTAGTTGAGCCAATCACAGGGCAGAATGCAATCGACCAATCAAAAAAAATTTCCATTATTTGAAAATCATCCCTAAATGTGTAACGTTAAGTGTGAAATAATGCATTGATAGAGTGGTTTCAAGAGCTCTAAAAACAGGAAAGTCGGAAATTTTTTTCGCACTTAGGGCCGCCAAAACTTCTGACCAATCAGAGTTCTGTGTACGCTGCACAGTTGGAGAGCCAATGAGATTTAAAGAGAGAAGGCTCTCACCTGGAGGAAGCGGAGAGGAGACGCTTTCGACGGGTTCAACAGCGGTGACGACGGGGGGTTGGGGGAGCTGGGACGGTGGCGAAGGTGGTGGGGGCGGAGGGGGGAAGAGCTGGTCCATCAGGGTGGGCATGAAAGTGGCCAATTGAGCTTGCGTTTGGGTCCACAGGAAGGCTTCTTTGGTGCCGCTTGGTGCGTCCCGGACGAGGATGGAAGCTGTGTCCTGAGTTCCGGTGTACAACACCAAGAGTAGGTTCTTCAACGACTCCCTCACGGCATCATTCTGCAAGTGGGAAACACGCAAAATGCACACAGAAATGTGGGAGATCGAACACAGAGCGAAAAGCAGCGCAAGCCAACCAGAGAATCGGAGATGTTCGCCTTGATGTACTTTTCCATGTAGGTCAGCATCCGCTTCCACAGCAACGGAAAGCTCTCCAGCGCGTAGAGGGGATTCAGATGCTGCAGGAAGATCTTCGTGAGGAGGGGAATGGCGCGCATTCGTGGGTCGGCGTACTCAGTGATACCGCCTCCTAGACCAGCCGCGTTCAACGACGCCGCGGCGCCGGCACCTCCCGACGCCTGATGCGAGTCCGCGCCTCCGCCACCGAATATGTTGGTCAAGAAACCGACACCAGACAGGTTGCCTTGACTACCAAGGTCGCGCGGGGTGCGGTTCGCAGCCAGAGAAGCGCCTGTGGCCATCGCGGCTTCTTCGAAGGTGACGCTCTCCAGGAAATTGGTTAGCAGTGGAAAAAGTACCTACGAGGTGGATGGATAAGCGTGGCATTCAGTGAAATGGCTGGTCAATCTGGCATCTCCGCAAGGAAGGGGAAAGTGGTACCTGCATGAGACAGTCCTCCCACTGACTGCCGGTCATGACGTGGAGGATGGGGGAGAGGAGGGCGCGTTGGAGGAAGGCCAGGGCGTCCGACCGCACCTCTCGACGTGAATCCACGCAGAGACGGGCGATGGCCTGCAACAGAGAGCGCCAGCACACGCTCCAGAGGCACTCCAAATTGATGGGTGGTGGTGGTGGAGCAGGCCTACAAGCGCCATCCTCAACCACCGCCACCTCCTCGTCCACGGGCTTCGTCCACTCCGCGTAGATGGACGGGGCACGACTAAAGAGCGTGTACACCAGATCCAATAGCTGCAACACGAAACGAACCAGTCGAGTCTTGTCATTGGACGACATGGGAAAACGCGACTTGCGTGTCGCAGGCGCTCACCTGCTGAGCAACTTCGCTGGTGAAGGGGTCTAGTAGACGACCTTCGGGGAAGTCGAAGGCGGGCATGGAGGCGCGTTCACCGACGAAGTTAGGGTGACGAATGAGCGAGGGTTTGGGAGTAGTGAGGACAGCCTCAATGAAGACACGCAGTGCGTGGACGCAGTACTCGATGTTGTTCGGAGTGATGTGGGCAGGATCGCGAACCAGGAAGACGATGGAATTGAAGGCCTTCTCGAGGGCGAACCAGTCCTGAAAGACGATGACAATGGGCAGCCGGAGACGCGACGACGGCACAAGATCGAATTCGTCGTTTGAGGCGATTGGTCTGGCAGTGGAGTTCGCTGTGGTGTCTAAAGGAGACCGTAGTAATGATTAATGAGCATAGTGGGTTTACAGAACCACCACCTATACCAAACTGAGGGGTTGTAACGAGGGAACTACTTCTGTAGATGATTTTACAGCTACACTGCCGCCATTTTCGGCACGGTTTTCTGACGCAATATCATCAGAAAACCGTTCCACGTACTAACTCGAACCTAACATGACCAGAAATCTGCTGTTAGCTCGAGAAGTCATCCACCACGCACCAGGATCAGCGCCAACGAGGATCCACGACTCTTTGCCTGCTGCATGACCGGGATGGCGGGTTTGCTGCCAAGGAATCTCTCCTGCGCCCGACAAGGGAGACGGTGGGGTGTGCGGCTGGGGGTCTTCATTGTCACTGGCGTATTCACGCGTCTGCGGGTCGCTGCTGGCCACGGCGACGTCCTGAAGGCTGGAATCTACGGAAAGAGGTGTTGGACAATCTCCAGGGCAGAACACGACGTGGTAAGAGGAGGTTGCAACTCACACACGACCTCGCGCTTCTTTTGCACGCACAGATGACCGTCCAGCGTTTCCAGTTCACCCTCTGAGATCGGGAAGGCACCCGCGCCACAGACTTCCAACAAACTGAAGACCAGCTCCCAGTCCTTCGTCGAGGGCAACTCGGCCGCGCTGTCCTGAAGGAGGACTGCGAGACCGCAGACGACCTGGCGGGCCACGGAACTGGAGACATCGTCGTTGTCGTCGTCTTGACCGACAAAGTGGCCCTGATTGGCGGTGGAGTGGCGACCAGTGTGTGCTCGACGATTCTGTCGCGTCGTGGTTGCCAACTGTCGCGTAGATGGCGGCGGCCGGAGCAAGTATTGACCACGTTTAGTCAGGATTGTCAGGAGGCAGGCAAATATCTGCAAGTGGACACGTGAAACACGTCAGCATTGAACATGGACGCTTCGACGACACACGACGCTCACACCCAAGACGTCCACCGACCTGAGTAGTCAATTCCGGGCGACGAAGGAGTCGCAGGGCCAGCCGCAGCATTCCAACCACCACTCTCTCCACAAGGAAACAGGGCGTTCTCGCGGAACGCAGAATCTCCACCAGGTGTCCACGCACCAATGGCCAAAGCAGGCTTATCCGGTCGCGGTTGTAGAGCAGCACACGAATGAGCAGCTCAAGGCAGAAGACCTGGCCCTTTTGGGTCATCGCGTCAGCCGAGAAGTAGCGAGGCTGCAGCACTGGAGCGACGTCAGTGGCGACCTTGGAAGGCGTCTCTGCCAGCGCCTCGACGGTGTCCTCAAATGACATTGGAGACGGCGTCGGCGGAGAAGGAGGTGGTGATGGCGTCAGCTCGTATTTATCACCGCCACATAGCCCGTAAAGCAGAGCCTAAAAGTCAAAGGAGGCGCAGTTGAGATAAAGGGCTGTTTTGGGCATTGGAGACATCCCAACACGTAAAATAAGGGGGTGGTTTTCTTGAAGTGTGTGTACTACTTATGACGAATTGAGTAGCAGTGCAGGGGGCACAGGCAAAAAGTGGATAAGGTTGTGTTCTGTATACACGTGCCTTGATCAACTCCTGCAACGACTCGTCCATGAGGAATTTGCTCTCCTCCAGCACAGCGCCGATTTGACAGGCCGCAATGGTGGACTTGGCGGACTTGATAGCGGCCTCCTCGTCGTGCTGCAGGAATTGCTGGTAGTCGGCGGCGGTGTCGTTGCCCGTGAGGAGGTTCTTGCCCGACGTCCCGCTGCGGTCGGCCTCGTCGATGAGTCGGAAGAGGTCGGCAGCGGAGGAGACGGAGGTGGCGGCGGCGGTGGCAGCCGAGCGTTTGGTCGGTGGAGGCGACGCGTCGCCTGGCAGATGGGTCGACACCTCCACTGGGGGATCCATAGGGTCTAGACGTCGAGAAGCCTCACTTGGAGGTTCAACTGACGCCTGCGGAGGACTTGGCGTGGATCCCAGTGTGAGGTAGTGGTAGAAGGACCCCAGAACGCCAAGATCTGACCTGCAAGGTCAAACATAGCGGCAAATTGTCAGTAGAAGTGTTGTAAACATGGGGGAAAAACAGACGTACCGGCTGTTGGTCATGCCGACGATGGAAGGGGGCCGATTGGACCGACCCAGAAACAGATTAATCTTCCCCGAGGTTTCGACAAAGTCAGCCGACTCGACCAGTGCGGTGGGGAGGAGTCCAGCGTGGAATAGTTGGACGAGGCAGTCGAGCAGGGAGCGCCAGCCATCACGCATGATGTCGGCATGGGCGGAAACCAGAGCAAAGACCAGTCGCGCTGCTAGCTGTGCTTTGCGGTTCCTTCCAAAGGCCACAGCGAGCGTTTCAGGCGTCTACAAGGAGACAACAGGACGTGGACAATGCGCGAAATCGCCTTGAGGGTTTGTAGACGACGACGACGACGACGACCACAACGTACCTCAGGCGGACTCAGAAGCATGGTGAATTTGCACAAGGAGATGGCCAGGTTGTCGAAGACATCGCTCATTCGGTAGTACGCAGAAATCCGCGCGCACCGAACGAAACCCGCCAACGTCTTCGCCTGGATGCTCGAATCGACGGTTTTGTCGAAAATGAACGAGAGTGCGGCGACCGTCGAGCCCCAGATCATGATGAAGAGGTCCGCGTCGAAGTGACCCGGTGGAAGGTGGATGAAGCGCGCGAAGGATGGCTGATTACTCCGTCGAATAAGGCACTAGACACAACAACCTCACACCTGTAAACACCAACGCGCTACTTTAACATAATTAGTAGGATGTTGATGTGCATACTTTCCAGAGGTAGTTATCGCGCACAGATCCCGTCTGCTCACTGGGCATCACAATCTCGTTGTTGCGAATACTGCTGTAGATGGCTTCTATGAGTTCAGGGGAGAACTGGCCCCCGCCATTCATACCCTTCAAGTTCTTCTTGAAGTCGTTCACCGTCATGGGGATGTTCTGGCGCTTGGAGTTGGGGTTGTGCTGGTCGGTGTTGAGCATGAGGATGGCGTAGGAGAGCGTGAAGGCGGCGTCGGCGTTGGCGAATGGCGCGTCGTTGGCCTGGAACCACTGCTCCGCGAAGGACTCCATCAGGTGTTGGATGAGCGGAGCTTCGCCGGGAATTCTGAAGGCTTCCAGGTACGCCCTCAACGCCTCGTCGATGCGAGTACCGCGGAAGTTGAAATTCCTGCGAGAAAAAATGGGGGCAATGCTGTTTGGTGAAGGGAGCCTCAGAGAAGATAAAGCACACGGCACGACTGTGGCTTCGCGCTGCAGGAAATCGCAAAATTAGTCTTCTACACCCCCCCCCAACGGCTGTCGAATCAAATCAACCAGGTGTTAGGCGTGGTCAAGCAGAAGTTCTTGTGTTGTTTTAATCTAGAACTCCTTGGCGGGAACTTGGGTGGCACGTCATTTGACGAAGATCCAAACCCATCGACGCTTCACAGTTGGATGCTCCAGGTGTGGAAGTTCAAGCCTCAGAACTCAAGAAGAGAGGCTTCGACTCAACCAATGCGGTAGGGGGGAGCCCAGCGTGGAACAGTTGGAGGAGTTGACTTCGATTGCGGCCTGCCAAATCGTGTCGCATTCCCATTGGCTAAAACAACCGGTGCCTTCACAAGGACACTGGACAAACAGATTCTTCACCGCGTCAAGACGGTTAGCGTGTTTAGTGGAACCATGAGTGCCGCATCAATCGATTAATTGCTTCGCCTCAGACGAGCCAAATGTTAACCAACCCCCTCCCCCCCGCAACCCCCCAAAGCAAGCTAACCTCGCGAAGGCGATAAGAACTTCGGAGTTTTTTCGGCTAGAGAGATATTCACCGATCGTCTTCTTATCCAGCCTCGGATTCTCCGCCAGGAAGGTGGCCATTTCGTTGGGATCAAGGGGGTCAGAGAGGAGACCGTTGCGCTGCAGGAAGGCGATTCCGTTCTTCGGGTTGATGTTGAAGCGATCGGAGCCGGCCATGAGGATCTGCAAGACAGGGGATGCGAAGATGAGCAAACTGGATCTGAAGCTCGAAAAGAAAAGGAGGGGGAGGAGGATCACACACACACACACGCGCGTACCTTCTTCTTGGTTTTCTGGGCAGCGAGATCGCTGTGGTTTGGAATTCCGGTCAAGCCAATCCAGTGCCTGTTCGGTCGGGGCGCTGGACGATTGGCGTCCGGGAGCGTCGGCATCTGATGGAACAAGAGAAAGAGACACGATATAAATCCTCTCTTAACTACGAGCGTCGAGTTCTGAGACTTGAACCTCAACTGACCTGTGAGTGGCTGGAAGCCTCGACCAGACGGTTTCCCGCGGTCTGCACCTCGATGGCGTCGATGACGGCTAGGAGGGCGTCCAGCGCGAGGAGGTGAGTGCCCATGAGGCGTGCAGTGGGGTAGGCGTTCTTGGTGAGCATCTCAGTGATGTCCTCGAAGAGGTTCGAGCAATAGGGGTCGCAGTCGTAGTTGACGTACACCTCGGCAGCCAATCCCGGCAACAGGAAGAGCTGAACCACCGAGTCCAGGGCGATCTCGCGGTGCTCATACGTGATGCGCTCGTTCTCCGAGGAGATCAGAGCAATCAGACGCTGGAAGTAGACCTACAAACAAACAAAAACTCACTAAGTTGACGTAAGTGATGGTGGGGGGTGTGGGGACGAGGGATTGTCTGTGGATGGCAAAAAGGGCTCACCTCCAGTTGCAGCTTGAGATGCACGCGAAGGGACTCGAAGAGGAGGAAGCAGACGCGCAGGGTGCAGGAGAAGAGATTGATGCGCTCCCAGTAAAGCAGCATCATGAGGTACTTGGTCATGTCGGTGGCGATGAGGTGGAGGATGGAGGGACAGGCGTGGAGGAAATCAGCTCCCGTCTCCAGGGCGACCGTGAGCAATCCCATGGCCACCTTGATCACCGACTCCTGGTGCTGCTCAGGGTTCAGGAGACCCACAAGCAGAGCAAAGAGGTTGTGCACCGCCTGGATGTTGTAGGGACGGCAAACGTGGACGTCAGATATGTCCGCTTGTGGGTCTGAAGGGTGGGCAGTGAAAGAGGGTCAGTGGAAGGATGGAGGTAGATGTAAAACCATCTGCAGAAGATGGGAAACGTGAAAAAACTCACCCGCCTCCTCATCCCCCTCTTCTCTGTTCGCCACCGTGGCAGTTTCCTGGGCTTCCTGGCCAACTTCGACGTGGAAGGAGACGGGACCGTGAAGCTCCTCCACCGTCGGCTGCTGCTGCTCCTGGTCCGAGGTGCTCTGTCGATCAACCAGATGCTCCTTCAAGCTGCAAATGCTTTCGTCGCCTCGTGGGTGTTCTTCTTCTGTGATGTGAATGTAAAAAAGGAGCTTGGATACACCCATCTAAGGAGTTATTTAATCAGACAAGACCTATTGGCTAAGAAACTAAACCACCTGCATGAAAATAATTGATAGAAGTGAATCAATTCGATTGAGATCAAATGTGAATACCTTCAGCTTGGGCTTCAACAGCACCATCAATTGGAGGCGTGTCGGAGAGCAGAGTTGGTTTCCGACTTCTACGCCTAGACTGTCTACTGATGGAGGTAGGCTCTGTCGGGTTCTGCGCGTCCACGCCATCAGGCTTTCCAGTTAAAAATAAAGCAACTATCATAAGGTTTCAACGCACGAGAATGCCAAAATCAGTACGCCAAGCATACCCGATAGTCTAGCTGTGTAGCGCCTAAAGCAATCAGTGAGGGCAGACGAGAGAAGAATAGCTGGACGATGGAGGCGAGGAAGTGTTCAGCAGTTCGGCGAAGTAGCTCTGACAGCTGCGTCTCGAGGCAGATTCGGAGGCAGTTTTGCAGTATCTCAAACACCATCTCGTTGGAGAGTAGGCAACCCGCGGGAATGAGCAGCAAGGTGCGTAGCAGGTGGACAATCTTCATTAAAACAACCTAAAATCAAGATGGTGAGAAACGAATTCAAGCAAACATGCTGCTTTAGCGTGTCGCAACCACAGATTTTGGTACGCAGGTAAATGGAGTACGTCAACGCAGGCGAGTAACCGTCTCACAACTAACCTCATCTGAACTGAGCCGGCTTCTGATAAAACGGGCCTGAATTACTGACTCAGCAACGGTTTCCATGGCTACGCCGATAACATTCTGGGAGCCTGTGGTGGTACCTGGCCTTATTTCCAAGAGACCGTAGGCGAGGAACTTTTCAACTGAGGTCAAGGCTAAACTGGTTATTGGGCCTGTCGTAGTTTCCGAGCGAATCACGTCCAAGAAGGGATTCAAGTAGATTAGTGGGTTCAACGATTCCAAACCTTGATAGGATATAAGAGGAAAGCAATTATTAGGATTGATTAGAAATTACATTTAAAAAACCCAAGTCAATCGATGCACTAGTCCGGGTCAAAAAAAAACGTAGTTACCAGAAATTCAGATTACTCGTGAGAACCATGGTGGTAGGAGTTTAAGGTTACGTGAAAAAAACTTAATTACTTCGATTTCATAATTGGTAGCACTTAAAGAACACAACTGCTCCTACGAACAACCTCAAAACAAAAATCAATCGAAGACTTTGGAAGTAACGAACGGTGATTTTATGGATTTAATTTCGCTTCAAGTACAGTAAGCATATTCAAAGAATGGGTAGCACTAAAAGACTTACTGGAAACCTCATTCAATTGACGTCGTAGGTTTGTAAGGTTGTTAATAAGAGTTCGCTTCGGTTCGTCTTGACTGGATCGGAAGTTTGATCTTGATGCGTACTTCATTGACGTCAGAAGGAACGACACCTCCGATTTTACCATACTAAGTGCATTCGGAGGCGCCATTTTACCTTGATCTAGAGTGCAACAGGGCTGACATACTCGTAACTGGTCAAAATTAAAGGTATGAGTATAGCAACTAAAGATGCAACCTTTGACAGGAATACAATATCAAACAAAAGCGTAAAATAGAACTGTACAAAAATGACCTAGGAAATTAAGGACTTAACGTGATGTTCGAAGTTTCATAATAACAGAAATACGTGATGACATGTACCCAAAAAAAACAACCTGCACACTGAAACTAACTAGGCGCACAAACCAAGGTTATTTTAAACAACATTATAATCAGAAATATTCTTTTAGCTGCTTTACTTTCACTAAAAATGTATTTTTAAACAGAATATATTTTGTAGTTCATGCTTATGACGCAATCGCAATCAAATTCACTGCTGTTCCCTCCTTTTTCTGCGTTTCTTGTCGAAATTACATTATAAAAACAGTTGGATAGGGCTATTATTTTTGCATTAAAAGAGTCTTTATTAAAAACTTGTCCTAAAGTTGCCTCAACAAAGATTTTCTAATAATTCGACAACTATGTTCGAACGTTTCATTTTTGTGCACGAAAAATAAGTTTTGAAATCGGTTGATCCTTGCATTTCCAATGAAAAACAAGGGCTTGCAACAATCTTTTAAGTTATGGACATCAACTGAACGTGACTTAATAGAAATGCTAATACCGATCGCATCGAAAATAAATACTAAATAAGCAAACCTATCAATTTGTAAGTAAGCAAATACAGAGCATTTTCAATTTTCTCTGTTTTTTTCGTCATTAATAACTGCCATTTTCCGGGCCACTGCACCTTTCTTAAGGCATTCAAGGCCTTCACATAGGCTCTTAACTTGCCCTGAGGTCATTTTTAACAATTTCCTCTAGAGTTCAAGGCATTTCCATAGAGGAATCCGTCTACTACGTAATAATTTAACTACTAACTTCGCACCAGTAAATATAACTTATTGGTTGTAAAATTTGCCAAGTCGAATCTCTTCAAACGACTCAAAGGCTCCTTAAGTGCTCGCTTATTCCCTAAGGTGCTTTAATAGAAAATCTTGTCTCTCTGGTGCCTTGTTGATGCAGCAACAAACTTGCTTGCTTCTTGATGTGAACTTTTACCGAATTCCCACCACGACCTTACACATTGATAATTTCCTTGTTTTTCTGACTAATAACTAGTTCAATGGTTTGGTTTGTTTTGATGAATAGCAACCGGGCCGATTGGGTGAATTGTTATCTACAAGTGAATAATTCCATACAGGGAAGCTCTAATGCAAATAATAAGCCCTGGTAGGTAAGTGTGCAATTCAATTTTCCCGAGAAATTTTCTTAAACCAACTGCAAAATTCCAACCTAGATAGCCCCAAGTTTTATAGCAAATGAATGGATTCCATAAGAATACAGGGGCCCGAAGTAACTAATAAATCAATGGTTGTTGCTACACAAGCAAGCAAACAAATCAGGCGTGTTTGTCAAAAGTTAGGTGGCGATCTGCAGCCGCTCCGGTTAACTCCTGAAACGCTTCAACCATTCTCCAACACACCGATGCAGTTTTAGGCTTCGAAGTGCAGAGGTTGTTGGTTGGGGGAAAAGCCATGGCTTCACGGCTGATACCTCGACAAATCGCCACCGAGTAGGACGAGTGCAACACCACTTGTCGTCAAAATCAACACACTACTGT